CAAATCTCAACGGAGTCGAAATGTGTTAACAACTACGGGTGCATTGATTGTGACGTGGTTCGAGATGCATTTTCACGACGTTGCAATTCTATAAAAAATAAATGATAATAATAAAAGCGGTTTAAACTTAATAAAAGCACATAAGTCACAATATGTATTTAAATCAGATATTTAACCATTATAACAATTTAAGCGACCGTGCTAGAACCACGGGATTCGATGGTGCCTAACACCTTCCCTCGGGTCAACAGAATTCCTTACTTAGAATTTCTGGTTTACAGACTTCATTTGGAAAGTCGAATATTTTCCTCGATTTGGGATTCAAGATAAACCGGTGACTTGGGACACCAAAAACCAAACCTTTCCCAAGTGGCGACTCTGAATTAAATAAATAATCTCATTTCGAATATTGTCACTTAAATTGAAAAAACTCTCTCGCGCATTTTACCCTTTGAGGTGGGCGCGCAAAAAGAAGGTGTGACAAAGAGCCTTGAAAATGTGGTGGAATTGAGTAGTTCGAAGAAGAAAAAAGCCAAGCAAAATACATAAGTTATCACCTCATTTATGGATTAAATTCTTGTTATACACTATTTGCGGACACGAAAATAACTTTATACACTTTACCTTTTAGAGTGTGTCCGATATATACTATTTTTGCTACGTGACACAAGTGTGTTGCGTTGAGTGTGTAAAGGTTGGGGGATTTCTGCTGTTTCTGCTCTCCGTTAACTCTTATTTTTTTTTTCTTCCCTCTTTTCATTCTGATTCATTTTATTCGAATTAGATTCCAGTCGGGATATATGCGTTATGCCACGGTCAAAAATTCCCTATATTTTTCGAATAATGGGTCACTTTCCTTGCTCTCCCCCCCATATAGAAGCTAATTTGAAGCGAATTTTCTTCTTTTAGTTTGTCTTGGCAGTTGACAGAAGTTTGACTATATGACCTCGTTTGCCCTAAGTTTGGGTTTTCAATTCTTTAGCAAAATTGTCCTTTAAAACAATAAACAATTAATATAGAAGAAGAAATGGTTATGTTTCTTATTCAACTTTTTTTTTTCTCTTTCAACATTTTCAGTTTCCCTTTTAACAAACTACTACTTATTTCATAAAAACATTGGTCTTATTTTGCAGATATCATTACTCTTTAGAAAGTTAATTTTTTTCTTCTTCAAAAGATAATTTTCTCATACGACATTTAACTATTTTTTCACTTTTAAAGGATTGTGTGTTTATAGTATATTATTTACCTACTTTTTGAATATGTAGTAATTTTTAGAACTTATAGTAAAAAAACAATATAAGTCAGAACATTTGACCTTTCTACTCCAAACTCTATTATGTATTTACGATCTAGTAATAATATTTAACTTGCCAAAAGAATACTAATAATATTTTAGTGGGGGAGTGAACAGCCAAAAAGATCTTTTGCAATTCCCTCTAATTAAAGAAAAAACCACAAAGAAGGGCAAAGGCAAACCAAAGCGGTGTAAGTTGTAACTGTAAGTAGAGAGGGTTGGATAATGGGGGTGACAAAGGAGCAGGTTGAATCTTCATTAACGGCAAAGCTAAACCCTTCTCATCTGGTAAAAATCTCTCTTTTTTCTGCATTTACTCGTATATATTATGGTGTTTTTATTTTTTATTTTTTATTTTTATTTTTAAACTTCATGCATTTTGTGTGTTCTTTCAATTTATTGAGCTACCTACTAGTTATAACAGGAAATCTCAACTAAACAGGCACTTGCGGTTATAATAGTGTTAAGAGTTTGTTAAAACCTAGTGAATTGCTCTTGGGTTTTCTCTTGTTTGAATTTACCAGTCAAATAAAATGATTTGTCGAGTGATATTTGAAGTAAGTGAGAATACGGGATACTGCCTTCTAATGTGAATTTTCCCAAATGCACAAATTTTGCAGTATACATAAAACATGATTATGCAAAAATAGGTCCAAAACATTTTTAAGTTTTAGATGAGTGATTATGTAGTAAGGAATTGAGTATTTAAAAAAAAATGAATCTTTTTTTTTTGATAATTGTGGTGTTGGAGCTAGCTTGTGCACACCTCGACTAATTCCACGGTGTACCTGCTATCTCCAACCAACATAGATACCGAGTAACTCCGTTCACCTAGGTGTTTTTCACTAAATATCTGATATGAAAATAATTTTGAAGTTTTTGTTGTTTGTACATACTACCCTCCCCTGACCCCACTTGTGGGATTATACTAGGTTGTTGTTGTTGTTTGTATTTGGCTGTTGATGTTGGAAGCCGTTATTTGTTAGCAAAAGTCTCAGGAATAAGTGTTTCTGGGATTATTTGTTTTGTTTGAATTGTTAGTGGATTTAATCATGAAGCAGTGCCCTCGTTAACTTATAATCTGCTTTGCTTGGGGTTCTGCACTAGGAAGTTGATATTTGTGGGATTTGCCACTTTGCAATCCAAATTTTGTAGGGTTTCACTTTGGCATATAAACTGTAATTTCAAACACTAGAAATAGATGATAGCCAATTTTCATCTTGGCCTAATGTTTGAGGTGGAAGCGATGAGACCAAGAGGTTTTAGGTTCAAATTCCATCAAGCTTGTATATTAGTATTCTCTTTACTGCTATTTGGTTAAAGGTGTGAATTTCCATTAGTTGGTATTGCACCCAAGTGTGTGACCCAGTGGTCGATGGTGTGGGTGAAAATCATTGAGACTAGGGTTCAAATCTCAGTGGAGACAAAAAGGTTAGGTGATTTATTTCTTCCCATCTGCCTAAGCCTTGGTGGCAAGAGTTACCCGTATGTGCTGGTGGGAGGTTAGGTACCTTGTGGAATAGTCTAGTGCATGCAAGTTGGCCAGGACAACGAACAACTTGGCCAAGGCAACACTATTATTAAAAAGAAATTCATTTAATTGGTTGTGTAGTTCTGTTGCAACAACCAGGGGAAAACTGCCACATGTGGGAATCTGCGTGGGAAGTGTGTTAGAGTCGGGTGAGGAATTAGGCATGGAATTGGATTTCGAAATGTTGAATTATGTAAAAAACTTCTGAGGTTGTTTAGCTTACTTCGTTTTTTGGTTAGCATAAGTAGCATGTGAGAAGGACAAAGCCATCCATGGAGAATGACTTTGGTATCTACTCGTTACTTCACAAATTCGTTTAACTATGTTTTCTACTAGGTATCTTCCTAATTTTAGACTGCAGCTAAATTCTTGGAAATGCGGAAAACTATAAAATGGTATCCCCTGTACTACTAATTTGGTACATTCCCTGGTACATTTGCTTGAAGTTAGGGAAGGCAGGTGAGCTATAGCGCATTTGTAGTGAAATTTCTCTGAGTATGAGAGGGTTTCCTGGTTGTGATCGCTAGTCACAAATTGCCTGTCTCGGAAATGAAGAGAGTTAAAACATTTAACGTTGAAATGATTTTCTAAAAGATGAGCTGAACTTGTTGGTGGAGTGTGTACTGAAAAAGTGCTTGAATAACACCTTATCTTAAGAGCATATCCCAGCATACTAAGATTTCAGGTATATCAAGGTCTAACTGAGAGAAACTTAAATCTTTGAGGAACCTGAGAGAGTTTCTCTTTTTCTGGGAATACAGTGGCGGATGCAACTCTTCGACAACAGGTTCTTTTGAATCCAGTAGTTTCGCCACGGAAAACCCACTAAAGTTCAACAAATATTAGATCTGAACTCATAATATTAGAAGTATAATGAGTTCAGTAGTAATTCCTTAAAGGTTGAATCCATTAAGTTTAAATCTTGGATCTGCCTCTGGGAATACATAGAATGTACATATATGAATTACCTATTCTTTATGTCAATAAGAGAGACGTTTGTCATGTAGGTCGTTACCCTTCTTTACTGTATCTGATTAAGTGTTGTAGTATGCCAATCTGTAAACATAAAAGGTGCTACATGATTAAAGCTCCAAGAACATTTTATTTTGAAGCATTATCGTTTCAACCACACTTTGTAAAATAGAAAAGAATAATGAGTGCGAAAGGAAAGATCTTATAGCTATGTCAGGTTTAAGGAACAAAGGTATGAGTTTGCAGTGAGCATAATTAGGAGATTAGAACTGAATGTAGGCTTATGAGGCAAGCATCTTGAAGTTAATATCCTGTCCCTCATAAGCAGCAGACACTGATCAGTTGTAAATTGGAGAAGAGGAATTTCACATGGAATAAATAATTTGTACTTTGATCTAGAAAAGCCACAAATGTGTTCCGTCACCTCAGTACTTCTTGGGCATGTTATAGTTATTTGTCTATTATCATTCTTTGCGATAGTTGTCCGTTGTTTATTAACTGAATATAGTTGTTTTTCATCATCTGCTTACAGATTGTTATATGCACATTTGGACTAGCATATTGACGCTCTTGCTTGTACTTCCTACTCGAGATATATGGAATTCCATGCCTTTTCCTTGTACACTTGATCAGTTAACTCTGCCTTGGTCCCAAATTCCATTGTAGTTGTGTTTGCTATACTAATCCGTTGTATCTGTTCCTCTCTTTTTGAGATTGTTTTTTCGTGAATCCTTCTTTTCCTGTATGCTGCTTGTAGGAATTCTTTAATACCCATGATGTGAATCTTTTCTTTTCCTTCTACATTAGATGATTAATACATATGCTGCTTAACTTGATCTCTTTCCGTTTCTTTCCTCTGCCCAGATGGTAGGAACCATAACCATTCTAATTAATTGAATGGGAACTAAATACAGGGGACTAATACAATAGTACAAATTGTCCAAAAGAGAAAAAAAGCAGAGAGCTTGTCCATCTGAACCTCCTGCTATATAACCCTAGATAACCAGAAGAATTTTCCTACTCATTGTTCATTGTGGATAACTTAAGATGAGGTAGTTTCTGGGTTTGAATTAGGTGAGCACACACAATTATCTTTTATAAGGTTAGGTTTAGATAGATGGAAAGAAATCACCCAGTATTTTTTTTGCCTCCGCTAGGATTTAAACCTGAGACCTCATGGTTCTCCTCTCTCCTCACTACCATTACGGCGATTTCTGCTATCAATTCTTCAGATTTCTTGCATTATTGACATTATTTGGATTTGTGGGATGTGAATCCATTGAATCAAATTAGGAATTTTATGGTTAATCATATGTAGATGATCTTAATTTCTTGTAAAACTTTATCAATCATTAGTGCTTCTAACAGAATTTTGCATTTCAAAGCCATCAGATGAACAAATATTTCACCAGCATTATTACTCTGTTTTAAAGTATTTATCTTAAGAATCACTTATACATAATTAATTGCTTAATTAATCATAAAAGAGAGGTTATTTCTAATCCTCTGACCAGATGTTACCTTCTAATTATTGGAGTCCTGAATGCGATGTAGAAGGGGTAGCTTATTAGAATTCCACACATTAAAATGCATGTGGCTATTAGTTCTGTTCTTTGAGCATTTCATGCACCATCTAAGCGAGCATTTGATATTCGAAAGCACTCAGCCATTACTTCTTGTGTTTTAATTTCTCTTTCAAACACCTCAAAAACCTTCATATGATTATTTATTCCATTCTTTTTTGCCCAGTAAAATCACCTAAGCATTGTTTTGTTTCCTTCTTTTTTTTTCAGGAAGTGATTGATACATCTGGGGGGTAAGTTCCTATACATGGAGTGCATTCAGAACTACGAAACTGCTTTTAAAGCTCCATTCCATTTTAGTTCTCTTTTCTGACATAGAATTCTTGTTCTCGATTCCAGATGTGGTGCAAAATTCTCGATTGTCATTGTGACTGAACAATTTGAAGGCAAAAGATTGCTGGAGAGGCACCGACTGGTTAATGGTGCACTAGCTGAGGAGATGAAGGAAATCCATGCTCTCTCTATTACAAAAGCTGCAACTCCAGAGCAGTGGAAACAACAGCAGGAATCTGAAAAATCTCAAGCAACTGCTTAAAATTTGATATCATCTTCGTTGCTTAAATGCTTGATGATTCAGGCATATAAGCATAATACTCTCTTCTCCTTATCTGATGAGGGGGTAACTGCTATAGGAGGTTAAGAAACAGAGTCTTATATCATGTGTTAGTCAAACTTTCTTGATTTGAGACCATGATACTTTAACTATATAATGAATAATGCAGTAGCTTTCAGATTCAATCAATCGTTATTGCTTAATTGACAAGTTATGACATGTTTTTACCTATAGAGAAAATGAGTTCAGGTGAAGGTGTGAAGCTGATGAACTTAGGTGAGGTAGAAGGTTTTGGGCTCAGATGCTCAGCTGGAAGCTTGATGGTGAAGAGGGACTGAGGGATGAGCTAAAAAGGGAGGTAGAAGGTGGAACCTCCCGAGTTTTCTTTTGTAGGTGGGGTGGGGGTTTAGCTTCGGCTCATAGTTTAACTTGGCAATTTGTGGAGAGATTAGGGAAGAAAGATGGCGAAACTAGCTAGTTAGACTAGGCGCATTGTTGACAGATCAGGAGAGAGATGATGGAACTGTGAGAGTTGTCTCTCATGCCTTTTCTTTAATTAGAGGTTTGGTTGGTGTTTGTTATATACATGAGAGTGTTGTCTTTGTGTGATCTGGAGCTTTGCATTAGGCTCAGCTCCTATTGGCATGTATAGTGTCTTCCGCTGCTATATCATTATTGTTACGGATGTTTTGTTGCATGAATCTTCTTGGGAGTTCCACAGCTCGTTTGGGGTGGTGAGTTTGTAGTCTAAAATCTAGGGACTTCTGTTGCTTGAACGAGCTCATTCAGCTTATTATGAGCTGAGAACTTTACTGCTCATGTGTATAACAGTAGGTTGTGAGCATTGCCATTTAAGTTCTTGATTGTTTTTGCCTAGAAACCAATACCTTCTGTCTAATCAAGCGGAAGGATGATGTTGCAAAATTGACTTAGTTATGTTTTTTTTTGTTTTTTTCAACAATGGTGTTCGGGCTAGTTTAGGCTTCCATTAGCAGCTCACCTAGACGTAGGTGGATTGGACGAAATGACCTAGCATTCCTAGGGGTGGCTGTCATTCCAATTTCCTTGCCTTGCTAGTAGAAAATCTAAAATTCTAGATGGACATATCGGAGAGTAAAATCTTGTTTTTGATTCTCATGCTAAAACTCCTACTAATAAAAAGAATAATTAGGGGAGTGAAGTGTTTAAAGTTATGTTTGCGAGTCAAAAACTTTTTCATACCCAAAAATCATGTCATACTTGTTAAGTTGGTCTATAAACTCATATCTTGGTTAACCTGAAACTACAATAAACTAGAGTCATATACTCATATTCATAACCTTTTTAGTTTGGCAAATACTTGGCAAACTCATGTCCGCCATCTCTAGCCAATGCGCACGAGTCACGACCAAAGAACAAATCCAACTTTTTTTTTTCGTGAGATGGATAAGAGAAGGTTAATATGAGGTTGTCAAATATAGATCACTCTTTTTTTTCAGTACCACCCTCAGGTATATGACAATGAGCATAATTATTGGAGAACTATGAATTAAGTGAAGAAAATAGTAGATAAGGTTATGCATATACTAAGAAAAAGTACTTAGAAGTAAAATTTCTCTAATACAGAAAATAATTAAGAAAGTTACTATAAATATTTGTATCGAGCCAATCGTATAGCTCCAGATAGCCATTTTCTGATGTACAGTACATATTAGAATTTCAAGATCCATTACGCTTGTTGGGACATAGCTAGAGGGTTAAGTACGGTTCGATGAAACTAGTAAGTCAATATTTGTATTTGTAAAAAGAAATTTACTAAATATGTAAAACATTAAATTCAGAATTAAGTATTAACACTTAATGTCACTATTTTAAAAATTACAATCCATAAACTTCAAGTTCTAACTCCACCTGCTTGCAAGCTGCAATGAGTCATTTTCACGTGCTTTTAGCACACAATTATTTTCAAACTTATTCATGTTTCTGAAAGGAAAAAAACACACACAGAGGAATCACAACATCGTGGAATCCTGTTCATGTCACCTAAAAGAGTCTAATCACACTATCTTGCTATTCTTTAATTCGCTTAGAAGCAATATAACCGTAGAATAATATTTTAAAGTTGAGACTGAGAGTCCTTAAGAATATTTTTATCAATTAATTGTCACATCTTTAGGATATGACAATTGACACTATTCCGAATAATAAGCATAAAATACCTACGTTGAAAATAAGATAATACTCATTGGATCTTGGATTAGGCTATTGGAGAGGTAATTGTTACTTTAATTATGTTTTAGTAGTCATATTATCTCATAATACATTTAATAGCTTACTACTAGGAAAATCTTAACAATTTTATCAGGTAACTAATATTCTATAACGCAATGACTCTTCTTAATTATCTAAAGTTTCAGGGAGAAATTCAAAAATAGTCAGATTTACAACTGGTCGTTCAAAAATAGCCCAGTTTTAAAAGTAATCGAAATTTAGCCACTTTTCATGTAAAGATAAATTTGAGCAAAAACACTGTTCAAAACCCGAAAAATACGCCAGTATATTATACTAGAGTTCCAGCATAAGTATGCTTGAACTCCAGCATATTATACTGGAGTTCCAGGATAAGTATGCTGGAACTCCAGCATAATATGATGGAGTTCCAGCACGAGTACACTAGAATTCCAGCATAATATACTGGAGTTCCAGCAAGTATAATTGTCCAGTATAATATACTGGAGTTTGGAGCACCGGCGCTCCAGTCTCCAGTAAATTATACTGGAGTCAGCAAAGTATACCAGTCCAGTATAATATACTGGAGTTCATACACAGGTGCACCGAACTCCAGTATATTATGCTGGACTGGTCTCTGTTGCAGCAAAATAGTGGCTATTTTTCATTGATTTCGTAAACGCTGGCTATTTTTGAATGACCAGTCCGAAAACTAGCTATACCGTGCTATTTTTACAAAGTTTCACGTTAACATTATTTTTGGGCTTCATAACAAATACTAACATCTTAAGAAACTCCTTATAAATTTGAATTATTAGAAAAAAAAGTATCGTTTTTTTCCAAATTCTAGGTGTAATTCTTTATGATCAGTAATTGTTAATGACCAAAACATCTATTTAGGGGTTTCTAAGCAAAGAATGCCACTTGTGAAATTTAAAAGTGACATTAAACTCCTTAAACTTTCATCAAGTTGCTCCTTGGTTCATCTAATATTGGCACCTTATATAACAAGTCTAATGATTTGGTGGAAATTATGATCTTGTCAATGTTCTTCAATATTTTCAGTCTTCAGTACGTCTCCTATTCAATGTATAAATAGACAAGACTGCTCATTTTGGTCTAATCAAAAATCATATTCCGAAAGAGATCATATTCTTATACACTCAAATGCCGTCGAATATAAACCTAAATTCATCTCGAGAATGAATTAGAAAGAAAATTTGAAAAATGTGGTCCATCTCTAAAGAGAAAGAAAGTTTTCTTCTAGTTCCGCTTTATGGTCTATACTTCAAAAAGACTTATCGCCTCATATTACATTTTTATGATGAGACATTCTTGGTTTATGTTCGTTGACTTCAAATTTTATTCTTTATCAGATGCACCATATATATTACTTGCATTGTGTAGTTAACTCAATAAAATTGCTTTTACTCAAGAATCAAATTCTGATATATAAACTTCTATTCTATGCATCAATGGTCGATTTGTTCAATCGACTGAAAACTAGCATTGACGTTCTCTTCGTTTCTATCTGATAAGAACTTTGTTCTTTAACATAAGAGATTTGACAATATATGCACAAGTTATGCTTTGAAGTTCATATGGCCTCAAAATGTCTAATCACAGAATCCCTCCCTCCTTTAGTTTACTGTAGCTTAAGCTAAGGGAAGAACATTTCTTGGAAGGAGAGGTCCAATACCTGTCATAATAGTTCTTCAATAGTTTCTCAACGGTTGGCGCAGGATTGACCATTCAGCTATTCAAGTTACATAAAAGATATATTTTGACATTTTTCCGTATTTCAATACGGCATATTTTGAGCTCTAAACTTTCTGTTTGAAGCCAAAATGGTTGGTTCCACTATATCGGTGAATAAGTGGTTTGAATCAAATCGTTTGCCTGAAGAAGTGGAAAACTTTTTAAAAAATTCTTTGAACTTTGCCCCAAAAAAATAAAAAAATTGGTGATGTATTGGTAGTATTTCAACTATTGAAAATTATAAAAAAACTTTTCTCTAGTGTTTGGCTGAAAATAATTCAAGAAAATCTCTTTCAACTGTTTTTGGAACAAACGCACCTAGACTAGGTTTTTACCCTTTAATTCTTTTCGGATTTCCTATTTTGAAGCCATTTGGAGCGAAACTTTTCAAAAAATTGACAAAATTTTCAAAAACTTTTCCAAAAATGGTTCTAATTAATGTCCATTGTCTTGCCTTTTCTAAACTACATTTTCGTTTTTCCTGGACAAATTTTTGATTTCGCCAAACATTGAAGTGACTCATCTTGATCATGTCACTAACTGGTCGAAGGGTCACACCAAAATCAATATTTTGGATATTTGCCTTTGGAGGCTCTCAAATTAGTGAGATACATCGGGAAATAGCATTCATTACTTCCTTCGTCCTAATTTATACACCATTTGGATTCATAGTCAAACGAGTTTTTGCTTATCTTAAAATCGGATAACAATTGAATTTATACGCGATTTTAAGTATATGTGATATAACTTGGTACAGATTAAGAAGAATAAATTAATATTGAAATTGTCTTGCAAACCACACAAATTGAATAGCCTTGGCCTTAGAGTTCAGTCACCCTTGAACCAAAAGATGTTTCAACCGACTTATGAACAAAATAACAAGATAGTGAAAACTAGAAAACGATAGTATATTGTTTTGTATTGCGTGAATATGATTTGTTTTACAAATAATCAGACCTGCTTTATATAGTACGGGAGTCCTACTCTTGGTACAATTCTATATGAGGTAGGAAATCTCATGATTAGCTAATTAACCGGCCTCTTCTTGATACATGCCGGGATTTCCACCGTGATCCTCGCCCAATTGCGTATATTTCGGCTTTCCGTTATTTGGCTCGGTAGGTTTCCCTCGATCTTGCTCCATCTCTATCTTACTCGGTCTCGATCTTGGCCGATTTTGATCTTCATCGGTCTCTGGGTCACAAGCTCGACGATCTATCAAG